ATGGGTTAGTCAGCTCTGCTGTGCTCTTCTCAAGTCTTCTGTACTCTGACACTGCTTTCTAGGCACCTCGGAGGTGCCTTCCTTGTCTAGACTTGATCCGTTCCTCATGGCGTAGTTCTTTCTAGCCCTCACGCACTTCGAGGGTGTAAGTTGCGCTCGCAATCTACTCTTCAGTGTTGCGTAAGTGCATGTGTGCATCCGGCCCTCGCCAGTATTGTTGTTCTTGCAAAAGCTTATATAGTGTCTCTAGAGGCAGCTAGAGCAGTTGTTGTGATCCAGTTGTAGTGAACCAACCCCACCTTTACTCCTAGGTGTCTCGTCAGCAACTCTCTAATTTCGGTGCACTTCTTACCACTCACTCAACAACCGTAATGCATTCATCACGAGGCAGACCTGTCAGTTAAAGAGTCCAAGGAATCCCACTCAGCAGTAGAACTGGCCCCTGTTCGCAGTATCTACTTGAACCTATAATCCTAAACCCTTTGACCGTATTACCATGAACTCTATGAGCTAACTTCCTAATTGTTTTACCACGCCATGCGCACAGTGTCTGGGGCCGCTGCATGGCCTACTGTAGTAGAGACAGGACGAAACTGTCACTGCTGCCCTACTGCAGTGCCTATGGAAACTCAGCACCTTTAAACACACATAGGGCTTTGAACTATCAAATTAGGGCAACCGCTGATTTGAACATTAGTGGTCGATCACTACTCTCCAAGCAGGATAGCATGTCATTCACCAGGACTGTAGCCGTTTCCCTGATTAGTGGTACTGCTTAGAGTGCCGGCCACCAGCTAATCACAAGCATCTGATCAAGGCGAAACGCAAATTGTTTTCCATAGTGAAACACTTCAAAATAGCTTGCTTGTGTCTGCTGTTGGACCTTGCGACTCTCAGTCAAACTGGGTCTGGCCATCGCAGTTTCCCCAAGTAATCCCCCTCAAACTGCACCTTACCCACACCTACACGAGATGAAAATTGTACTCAAGTTTCCGCCTCAGACTTACTACTTATTTTATATTCGCGGTGCGCCTTACCGCATGGCACGCAATCCGCATTCGCTACCGTTGTGGTGGCTTCGTGGACGAAACAATATGTTGTGAAAACTATACTCAAGACCAACACGCAGATTAAGGCTGTGTTTTTCTTCACGCATAAGTGTATGACTGTCGGCTTGAAAGAGACAGCATATCTAATATGCACGGAGTGCAATCCCCGCGTAGTGAGGAAGTACCCGAATTCTCTGACGCCCGGAGGAGGAAGTCTGTGAGCTGACACTGCACACTAGCTTTGTCGCAACGTCCGCTGTGCCGCTCAGCAGGAACAAGGGCCTGCATACAGCTAGGTCGTAGCTTAGGAACCTATTTACAGACGCAGCAGCTCGTTTTCACTATTACTCTTTAGGGAGCACCAGGGAACCGCTGGGCAAATCCGGCTACGACTACGAACAGTAACGCCGACAGCTCCGCTGGCGATACGACACAAGCAATAGAAAGGTTGTCATAAGAACTCTGAAGACAGAGATGTATTAGGAAAAAAACAGGCCACAACCGGCACACAAATATGGAGAGTGTGGCAGCTCGAATGGTCTCCATCCTGCTTATTGCTTGCCATTCTTTCATTTTCGCTTCATGCCTTATTTCTTTGTTCTCTTCTGAGCCTTCTGTACTCTTTCTGTGCAGTTTCGTAGATTTGGGCCTTCTGGTCGAAGCCACTGGTCCGAAGCTTTTCGGCCGCGTGTGCCTCCGCAATCAACACGTCTCGCACATTACGCGCAAGGCCTGAGGACAAATTAACGACACTACAGATTTCAGGATCACCTACCGACGTTAAAACTGTTCAACTCTTCATAACGATGAGCCATGCATAAATATGCGCGAGTTCATGCTTAAGTATTTCTACATGCAAAGGCACAGGGTGCGTTTGACACAAGCACAAAGAATTGTGCAGATACATGCAGCAGGCCACGTAATAAACAGAGTGCATTTCTTCTTGGCTCTATTTTCGCACTCTTTATCTAACTGAAACAACGCTCCAAGGGAAGAAGCCCTTAGCAGCCATATGCGTAAAACGGAGCCATTTGCACAGTTACGCACACAACACGACAAACTTTCATAACGAGATGAAGTCACTTTCTCAAAAGCAAGAAGACAAAACATCGCAAAATCTTTCTATATTGCAGACCCATCGGGGGGAGCGGCTGCTCTTCAAGACGACGGCCAATATACGCCTCCACACGATGTACCGCAGAAACATCGGCTGGATCCTGAACACAGGATTCAGCAGAAAAAGTACAAGCAGCACACAAGAAAAACAGATTATCTCTTCGACGAGACAGGAGGACCAAAGCCTCTCCCGCTTCTCCTGCTGATTGCAGGTTCTCTGATGGGCGGCAGCTACTTCAACTGAGCTCACAACAAATGTAATGGCGACTCCCTTCCTTCCCGCCCGGGCTGTCCTGCCTACGCGGTGTACATACACCTCAGGTTCCTTCGGGGGCTGCAGGTTGACCACGAAGTCTACATTAGGGAGGTCCAGCCCTCTAGCTGCCACATCTGTGGCTACCAGAATTCGCTTGTGCTGGCTGCGGAAGGCCGCGAGAGCAGCATTACGCTGCTTCTGTTGTAGCAGCGAGTGAATACAAATGCAGTCCACCTCCAGTTGCTGCAACGCAGTAGCTAGCTGCTGTGTCCTCCTCACGGACCCACCAAATATGATGCCTCGCTGAGATACAAACGGCTCCTGTTGTAGCAGATGAAGAACATACACTCCACGCATATCCCTAGGAACAAATATATAGCGGTGCTGCAGCAAGGGTGGGCTTCTGGTTGCTGCTTCCGGCAGCAGCAGAGGCATTCGGGAATCGCCGAATTCCTGCTGCAACTGCAGCAGCGCATCATTGATGCTAGCAGAAAGTAGAAGTGTCTGCCTTCCTGACGAAGACGTGGGTAGTGATGAAAGTAGGAGGCTCAAATCGGGGCTGAACTCCTCGCTTAATAGTCTGTCTGCCTCGTCAAGTACCAAACAGTCGACGGCCTGCAGCCTCTCGTGAACCGGGCCTTTCGACATATGAAATGCTGGTCCCATACCGTTGTTGATGCTTGCTGCATTAATAATGTGCAAGCTGCTGTCTTCATCACTGTCAGCCTCAGAGGCGCCACCTGCTGTTGCCTCCTCGGCTGCTGCAAGACCTCTTTCGCGCTGCAGCAAATCCGCGAGTCGTCCTGGGGTGGCAAGGACAACATGCGGCGCCCGTTGCTGAAGCACTTCCGCCTCAACTATCATATCTTTACCCCCGGTGACTTCAACCCATCTCAGACCAAGATGCTGACCGTAAATCCCAAACTGCTCACCTACTTGAGATACTAGCTCGCGCGCCGGTAACAGAACGACCGACATAAATGTGTGCCCCATTCCGCGTTGTATCCGCTGTAACACAGGCAGCAGATAACAAAGAGTCTTCCCTGTTCCTGTGGGTGCTATGGCGCAGAAGTCGCGTCCGGAGAGGCCCAAAGGCAGCGAGCAACGCTGAACAGGCGTTGGCTCGAAGACGGAAAGATGGTGTAAAACTGAGCAGAGTGAAGAACAGACGCCGAGAGACCTGAATGTGACGTCTGCTGCTTCTGATGCTCCTGGCAGTGTCTCTTCCGCCGCTACAGGAGGCGTGCAGTGCCGCTCTTGCTGGTGTGCCTCCTCCTGGCTTGGCGTAAAGGCCGCATTATTGGGCTCCGATACGGTCTGCGCTGACTGCACAGCTTGTTCTTTCGCAGACAAAACACAGCATTCATCTGCGGGCTCTTCGAAACTAGCTATTTTCCTCCCCTCATGTGATGATGTCCTACGTTTCTTTCGCCCCCGGACCCCTTCAGCTTTTGAGGCAGCCCGAGCTCGAAGGCTTCGCGAAAGTGCCATGGAATGCACTTCCAGAAAGTGGACACAACAACTGGGTAATAGTTTAACAGAAGCTGATGTAACGGAGAAGCTGCTAAATGGAACGTAACGTGCTGTCCCCTCCTCCCCAGTTTGAGACGTCGACTAGCCCGATACTGTGTTACTTGAAGCAGGCAAGGCCAAATTTAGCAAGCAGCTCAAATTTCTAATTTGGGCACGTTGCAGGTTTGATGAGTCATAGGTCTTGCAAAGATACCAGGCGCTTGTGGGGCGGGGGGCCCAAAGGAGGCCCACTAGACGCTGCACGGGGCCCGCTCCATCCTTTCGGGATAAAGTACAATTTAGATTACACATTCAACGTCGATTTAACATAATTTTCTTGTCGACCCTCATTTTCCCAGGATACTCAATGTTAGGACATCGTGCGCCCCCAACACCTTAAGCAAAACAGGTATATCAGGAGACTACGGCCAGACTAGGATACCACCGACACCTGGCCCTCACATATTAAACTATCGACATGGTCTCCACCGCCGGTGTACATAACTGAACCTCTGTTCTAGTTCACACGCAGACTTGACTCACTTTCCAGACGTCATAGCGTATCTCCGTAGATGTACCTATCCCCTTACTATTCTACGTCGTGCTTGTTGCCCAATGACAGCCAATCAACTCGAACAAAACCTTAATCGAGATTCACCATGGTGTCTACCCGGCAAAGACCAGACGCAGTCGGAACATATGTATTGTAGGCGACTCCACTACACCCTCATTCGGCGTGCTCACGAACCACGTCAGTTCCAGTCCCTCCCACAACACCCAACTGGCTGCTGCAACGGGCCCGCCGTTTGTAGCAGGCTGATGAGCAAGTGTAATATGACGGCTAGCGAAAAGCATATGCGCAAGTGGTGCGTGGAGAATTATGTGCAATTCTCTGGAACGTACGCACGCCCCGCCGAGGCAACATTCCGCACCTAAAACGAGCGCCAAAATCCCCGGCTACTCTGGCCGCACTCAAACGTTTGTGGGTGCAATCCCTCTTGCAACTGTTTCTTCCGCTTCGGCTGCTGCATGACGTGCTGACAATGCTGCAGTAAATAATACGTGCGTCATTGTGTGTGCCCTAACTCCGTCTTTTTGGCCGCGGCTGACGGTGTTGGAGTATTTGGTTTGAGGTTTTTCCTCAAAAGTTCTGGCAGGCATGAATCATCGTCTCCCCCAAACAACTTTCTTCTCGTCGGTCCTCGTTTAGTGTCACTTCCATTTCTGTCATCGTCGCCACCGCCACCATTATTATCATCATCATCGTCATCATCATCATCCCGATCACTGTGCGCAGCTTTGTTTTTCTTGTCTTTTGTTTTTTGCGCCTCTTCCTTACCGCCTTCTTTTGACGCCTCTGTGTCACGGTTACTACTGTACCCTTGGTGGTGCTGACGTTGCTGCTGACTGTGCCCGCCCCTTGTGCTGGTTATGTTGGTGCTAGTATCTCCATCAGATGCATCCACAGTCCCGTCGTTTGGTCCGACATCAGACTCACAGCTCCCTGGAGTCTTCTTCGCAGCTGGCCTCTGCCCTTCAGACGAACTATCCTTTGTTGGCAAAGCATCTATATAGGCAGCCAGCTGAGCATCAGGAGGATAGGGTCTCCTGCCTAAGCAGTCTTGAAGATCCGCAAACGTTAGCGTCTCCTTCTCTAGAAGTAAGTCACTCAAGGCATGCATCTCCTGATGCACATTCACGCAGACGAAGTCTGGCAAAGCTGCACATGAAGTATGCATGCAGGCGTGCTGAGACCCTGTAACCCTCTCACACGCGAGGAATGCACAAGAACGATCATGCTCTATGCCTAAATGAGGGAAAATCTGTTTCTTGCCTTCTCCCTTTCCATAAGCAAAGCCTTTACTCGTTCGTATTGGCCGCTAATCAAATTTCGAACTTCTTCATCCACAAGCTGTACGTACACACCCACACCATGAATAGTGTCGCTGCACCGAAGGCAACTTCGTTCTCTTCGTTCAATTCAGAGCTCCTCAAAAGCAATAAAAGCGGTCCAATGGGATAAAGTGGGGTATATGGAAACAAATATACACCAAGACTTAGACAACCTCTCACAAATCCCTAGACGCAATAATATATGGACACACAATTACATACTAGTGGGCAAGCGCTAGAGCGGAATACCTACACCTGCTTGATTCCGTGAAGACGCAGGAACGCATTAGGTGGGAGAATGCGAATATGTAAAGTGTGGCAACTTTGGGTTTCAACGTCCATTCGTCGCCCCTTTGATGTCACTGTATGCAATTCGAGAGGAATATATGTATATATATGTGGGTCTCTGCTGCTTACTTCAGCTGTGGCGTCAGAATAAAGCTGGTAGGGATCTTGCGGGCTGGGTCGAGTCCTCTTTAAGTTAACTAAGCCAATCTTCGGATTCATCCCCAGCTGCATTATTATCAGGCGGGCCAGATGGGTGGCCTTTTCTATGTCGTCTACAGCGCCTACGAACCAAAATGAAGATAGCATGCACGTGAAGAAATAAACACATTGGATAATGAATGCAATCTTCAATGCAAAAAAACCACGGTTGTGTAAATACTCTGACATGCAATTTTCAATGCAAACAAATCACCGTTGTGCACATACTTTGACACACCAAGCCTCTCTAGCACCAACTAAAGCAGAGCTTCCAAGCTAGTGTATCGTGAATCCTCCCGTACCACTGGATACACAGCCCATGAAGAGCTCCTCTGCAGCTCTTCCCGCCAGACAAACGGCAATTCTGTCTAAAAGAGCGTCTTTCTCGTAAAGCTCCACCGGAGGTGGCATCTGTTGACTGAATCCCATTGCCCCGCTGTCCCTGGGAATGATGGTCAGCTTCAGCACCACGTCTACTCAAACAAAAAAAAATGAGTATACTGTGATGCACAATGCAGGCGGGTGCATTTTTCAGTGCATGCATGCCCCCATACACAGCACAGAACAAAAATGCACCTACGAATTCGAAAAAAGATGCCGCGGAGATGCTGGCGGATGGCAAACAGTTTGTACGAAAAAACAACTTATCCAGTGCACTAACAAGACAATATCCGCATGGAGAGGCATGTTGCAGCCCAAGTAATGATTTTGAAAACCCCGACAGGTAAAGGTGCATCTAATGACGCTTAGTTTGTTGTAGTCATTGGATAAAGCTCATCAGCGAAGTGAGGAAGCCCGACCTGCATGCTTGAGAAACCATCCCGCGACCGCATGCCCAGCTTCATGCAGAGCGATCGTCCTCCTCTGCTTTTCAGACATTAGGTTCTTCGTGTTGGAGGGGAGACCAGCAATAATTCGCTCGACAGCCATCTCAAAGTCCTGCAAACAAGCCCTTGATATGAAGCCACAGCTCCACCCTGAGCCACCCTGAGCTTAGTCTGCGCGGCCGCTGTTCGTTGTTCTTTTACATCTCCATATGGAGCACTTTACATGCATACGTTACTCTAAACTGAAAAAACAGGGACTGTAAAGTCTTCACCCGCTGCTCAATCCCTCGCTTGGTTCGCCTCCTTGCAGCGTAAATTGCCGCTTCATTGCAGATGTTGGCAATGTCTGCGCCGACCTTCAAGACAGAGAATAAGAAAGAATCGTAGGCAAGATCTTCGATACAAAAGCAAACTCAAGAACAGGATAGAGTTATGCTATGAACGAAACAGCGGGAGCACGGACACGTAGCACTCAACCAAAGAACGGACAAAGTGCCGAGACAATGCACAACGTCTGGTGTGCAGGCAGATGAAAAGTGCATGACGAAATCCAGAGACCGATCGAGATTGATACAAAAAAGAACCGAAAAAGCGAGACATAGAATGAGCAGTAAAACGATCCAGGACAGCTGAAAATGATGAAAAAAAGCGAAGAGCGACAACGAACGGAACGGGGAGAGCAAGGGCAAAGTAGCCACAAACAGAAGTGCCAACGCAAGCTAGGTAAAGAAGCCGATACGGCAACGGGGATAGATACAACCACGAAGGGCAAACACGAACGCAAAGCGCGGCAGGTTATAATCAGGCAGCCTACCATGCCTGGAGTAAGAGCAGCCATCCGTTCAGCAAGAGCTGTTGCATCGACTCGAGGAGACAGCTTTAACGGTTGCAAATGGACCTGAATGGAGCAAAGCAGGGGCAAATAGCGCCTTCAAAATTTATCCTCCTAAAGGGGCCTTGCACGACTGCCTGACAGTGCCGACTGTTAAGAGGAGAGTGGTCAGCGGGTCGAAAATACAGGATTTACAACAGCACAAGATGATGCAACAAGCTTTAAAGAAGTGAAGGAATCCCCCAAGTACCTTGAATATTTCCGCTCTCTCCTTAACGTCCGGTCTGCTGATAACCACCCGACGGTCAAACCTTCCAGCTCGCTTCAGTGCGGCATCCAGGAGGTCTTCCCTATTGGTTCCTGCGAAGCAGATAAACATGTTGGTCCAGCGCATGGACACGAAAACTAGAACTTATCGTGCAGTGAGACTTTCATGCCCACAATGCACTAATATGTAACATAAAACTTTGCTACACAGCTCTAACATGCTACGTGGACAAACATGCGACGGGGTCACGACATGACCAAATTTTCGTGTGTACTTGGGCGTGCGCCTGTACATGCAAGTGGGACCACTGAAATGTATATTCGAATCTAAGCATACAGGCTCCCGGGAGGTTACGTAATGTGCGATGAAAACACTTGACATGCAGTTTCCACCGCGGAGTGTACCTGCACACGTGAATATACTCCTTGTGATATCCGTGTGCGCTGCACGAGTCTCATTGTGTCGGATTATCTTGTTATCATGCAGACAAGGCATACCCTCATGCACACCCTTGAGGCAAACCGTCGTGTATATGACAACAAGACAAACCGAGACACTGCGGCTTGCACGTGATACAGACAGGGCCCCTCATTACCAGCTAATACTACCACCGACTGATGCGGTGAGAATCCATCCATCTCAACAAGAAGTTGATTGAGCGTTTGCTCTCTCTCGCTGTTCGCAAACTGAGTGCTGCGACTCGCACCCACGCTATCTATCTCGTCTATCCAAATGATGGCTGTAAACAGCATGGTCTCAACAACAAAAGTTGATCGCTTGACGCAACTCTTCAGCTCTAAATGCTCCGCAAGTACTTCTACGGTAGCCTGCTGCTACTTCGCCCCAAGCCCTAGCCCATAAAAATGTGTCAAAAGCGTACACGGCGCCGCCTTCCTCGCTTCATCAAAGAGCTCTCTCACTCTCGAAGCCCCGACACCCACGAAAAGCTCGACGAAATCCGAGCCACTGATTGAAAAAAATGGAACTCCAGCCTCTCCCGCCACAGCCTGTACACAGGCATTGACAGCATCACGACAGGTGTTAGAGAAATGAGACTGGCAGTCATGTAATTTCAAATTAGTTCCATGAGATCAAACGGCAGTGGAAAACAAGAACATGAGGTCCTAAGATAGAAGCCTTCAACTGTATCACAATATATAAGTTAGGCGAGAAAACCCGCTTGCCTTAGCGAGCAGGGTTTTACCGGTGCCCGGAGGCCCCACAAGAAGTGCGCCCTTAGGCAATTTCGCTCCCATCTTCTGAAACGCTGCTGGATTTTTGAGGAACGAAACAAACTCCATAATTTCTCTTTTGGCCTCATGCAAGCCTGAAAAACACGCGCGACATAGCAAAAACATCCAAGCGACTTAACACCTTCAGTATTTTCGTCTTCAACGGTCCCCATGCTCAGAACAAAGCCAGCATCTGGAACCAATAAGAGATGCTCACCCGCGACGTCGGCGAAGCGCACCTTTACCTGCGGAAGATCACATTATGTGCAATAATATATGACGCTCTTTTCAAACAGATCGCAGTTCTTAACCTTTGCCAACCCCGGTGCCGTAAACTTTCGTATCAGCATCAACTCACAGTGTCCGGCTTGATACGTGCTCTCTTGGAGCTGCTGTTGCCCAGTAAACGATTTAGGCCGCTTGCACTGCCGCCCCTGCACGCCACACCGTATCCCCTGCCCCCTTTAGCTCAAGGCCCCAAATATGGGGCTAGCACATGGAACAAACTCGAAAACATGACATGCTTTGAGGTATCCATTGGTCATGCCGGCTTCATCTCTTGGTGAGGGATTAAGACTCAGGTATTCACCGGTTAACCGCGCCTCCCATAAGGAAGTCCCTGGCTATTGTGGCCATTATTAAGAAAAAAAAGGCGGAGGCAACGAGATCTCCCAAACTCAAATTCCAGCCCTCTTCGACGTATATGGGCAGAAAATCTTTTGGATGTATGCCCAGAGAAGCCTAGTAGCAGCAACGACGTCGCATCAGCAGAGGCCATGATAAAGGCATAATGCGGAATTTCGCAAAAATGAATTGGTATAAATTACGACAAAATGAAATGGTCTAAGGGCTCAACATCAAGGCGTGGGATTACTTGAAAATGCTCCATTTTCTCGATAAAACTTTCCGGAGTTAGTCCCGTCCTAAACCTGACAATCTGCTTTCTTGACAACACGTCCGCCAACTTGGGCTGCTGCTGTTGCTGGAGTGTCGGCTGCGGCTGCTGCAACGAGTACTGTTGCTGGTGGTGAGACTGCTGCTGCCCCTCGTACGGCTGCTGCTGCTGGTACTGCTGCATCTGGTGCTGCATTTGCTGCTGCTGCATGTACAGCATCAATTGCTGCTGCTGCTGTTGCATCAAATGCAGCTGCTCTGGCGTCGGGGGTGCCCTGACAACAGCTGTGCAGCGGCCCCTATCCCCAACTACAACGACTTTCTCAACCAAGCCACGGGCAACATACGAGCTGAGAAACTCCTGAACACAGAAACACCAAGACTAAAGTGAAAATGGCGCTGCTGCAGCTCCAGCTACTGAAGCTGCTACTGCTTCAACCTGCCGATGCATTCGCTTGAAGACGATGGCGGAGTTACCAACCTGTAGTGAAAGCTGCGGCTCGACGACTCTCGACAAAAGCGACAAGGCAAACAACCAGAAGCCCAGCCAAACGCACAAGCGCAACAGCAGATGCTGAAGGGCCCCCCCAGCCGGAGGGATCAGCGGCAGCCGTCCACTTCTGCTGCCGCTGGTGTTGCTAGTGCTGCTACTCTCCTGTTGCTTCGACGCGTCCTTTGGATAAAACGCTTCAAATCCGAAAGGCGTTCGCCTCATGCCGTTCCCTGCACCTGCCTGCGGGCCAGGTCCCCGGCTGCCCTTATTGCTATCCCCTCCACCACCGCTACCACTATTACTGCCACTGCTGCTGCTGCTCCTAGTATCCGTGTCTTTCCTTGTGCTGCTGCCAGTTTCTCCCTTTGCATGTTCTTCAGGCTGTCGGCCACCGGTTCCGTTGCAGCTGTATTTGTCAAGTTCGCTCTGTCCAGTTCTGTTGTTTCGACTGCTGAGGATAGTCAGGTCTTTCAAAAGATGCTGCAACAACGTCCCCGACGTTGGCTGCTCCTCATGTACTGCTGCTGCTACTCGATGCAACTGCCGCAGTAGCGGTGGCAACATATTGTCCATCAGAGCGACAGGCACTGCCGCTGCCGACTGCAGTACCCCTTCCGCTGTCTTGTGCAACAGTGACAGGAGCTCCTGCAGTTCTTGCTTCTGCAGCAGTCCGCGTTGACACGCGGCATCCCGCAGGAGTCCATTTTTAGCTAAAAAAGACATGTTCGGGGAACCTAGCAGGTCCCTGCTTCTGCTGTTGCAGTTGCTCTCGTTACAGGCGGTTCTTCCAAGAGCATCCTGCCTATCTCCATGAAAGAATCCGAAAGTGCGGGAAGCGAACTGTCTTCTGTCCTTCGGCAGCTGTAGAACTTGCTGCTGGAGCGTAAGCGCATGCTTAAAGACAGTAGTTGGGCCTGCTACTGTCGCTTCCGTTGCAGTTGCTTCTGCCCCGTGAGAGGCAAAGTCTGGGATCCTGAGTGACTGCCCGGGCTCACGAACGAACTGTCGAGGAATCGAAGTGGGGCACAGCGAAGAGGCTGCTCTATGACCCTGGGCTAGATGCAGGAAGGGTCGTGAGCCTCGCTGCAGCTGCAGCAATCGTGCCGCTGCAACCTGCATGCCGGCCCTCCTGTTGCTGCTACACCAAAGTACAACAATGAGCAGGCAACAAGACGCCACCTGCTCTCACCACGGACGCTTCCATGTGATAGCACGAAGGCAGCGACGGGCGCTGCTGTGGTTACAGCGCCAAATGGAATTTCGCAGTGTTGTCTCAACTATTTCCACCTGCCGGCGTGGCCAACACGGCACGCCTTTCCTGCTCAGTTGCTTCCAAAAAAAGAAAAACTGCAAGATTAAGGCAAAACTGCGCCCGCAACAAAACCATAACACCCACACCAACAGAGGCGACGGCAGCGGCAACCAGAGCACACCGCTCCAGCCAGCCTTCCGTGTCTGTCCGTCGGCCTCAGCTGGCCCTTCGCCTCCACGTAAGTTGAGTATAGGGTCCGAGTGCTATATTTACAAAAATCCGTTATACTGCTTCATTGGCAGTAGCATCCAGTTGACTACTAACCGAGTAAGGAGGAGGGGACTGAGGGGCTGCCAATTACGGCTGCTGGAAGCCAAGATTCCGCGAAAGGCGAAGTTTGCTACGACTGTAGATGACAAGCAGCCCCCGTGCACACTACGAGTTTTCTCGTTGATATGTTAGTACGAATGACTGTGCAGGAAACAGTGGCCTTGCGCCTGTGGGAACCCAGCTTTGGGCAACAATTTTGCGTGCATGTTGCCAAGGGCGTAGCATTGCAGCATTCAAGTACTGTCATCTCCTCAGAATACTATACCTTAAGCAAGGCTTATTTATGAGGAACTACATGAGCCAGTAGAAAGCCACAAAAACGTAGAGCTTGTGTTGCTACGTTTTGGGTGGAGGCTCAGAGGGGCTCTGAAGATCATTAATGGCGTCGAGGGAGGAACTCCGAAAGAACCCTAAGCACTTTGTCATTCTGGCATTGATTGTTTCAAGTTTGCCCGCGCGCGTAGCAGGTGTCAAGGGCATCCGGTCCTACGGAGCGTGCCGTGTTTCTCCGGGGCGAGCTGTCTCAACATCGCTGTTACGTTTAACGAAACCTACACTAACGAGAAATATTATTGTTGCGCCATGCTACGGAACGCATTTGATAAAATGTTTTAGTTTGCCCGCTGCTTGTGAGGCTCTCGGCTATCGTCGCTTTTCATTTCGAATTGGATTAGCTGTGCATCTTCATTTGCACTTCGCTGCGGATTAGCTGTGCGTCCTCCTTTCCACTTCGCTGCGGATCAGCAGTGCGTCTTCTGTTTTTCCACCTCGCTCTGCCACGCTGTGCCTGTGTAATTCGGATCAGTAGATGCTGAACAACTTCGTTCGCCACTATCTCCGTCGAACCACTCTGACATCCTATGCGCGTCTGCCCCTTGCATTTGACCCCGATCTTTGAATACCAATTTACAACGCCGTTTTCAAGTACGATATTCTCAAATGATTGGGAACGTAAGACAGAGGTAAGTTTGATGATGTTATATGGAGGTTCCTTACCTGCCACCAGCGGTCGGGAAGCCGTCAGATAAATCATGCACGCCAGAGCTGAACTCTGCTCCACGCAGTCTTCGGATTATATATGTCGCAGGCATGCATGCACAGCGCCGTACCAAAATATTTTCTTTTTTACATTTCAGCACTTTAAAGTAGCGTAGGGATTCTTAACTCTTTAGGAGGGTCATATGCCTCAACAGCCATGGCATAGCTTCCGTTACAGTTCCTCCCAGTCGAAATTCAGCCGACGTGCAGGTTGCATCACTGGCTCCAGCGAATTCCTCACACTTCTGCCTTCCTTATATTGCCAGGATGGATCACCACGTTGTGCACTAAAACCTCACTTTATTCCGGTGCATACACCTGGTACTACGTAGTGCCTGAAACTTGAAAGTATTCGCTAGAGACTTGAGGTGGGATCCCCAAGTACTGGCAATCCATGTCGCATCACCTGCGATTTTAGGAGCCCGCTTTGAGTCCTTGGACGATAGTGATGGAGTTTTCAAAGCTGTTGCTGCTGTGGCAGTAGAGACTGTGGCTCGCTGCATTACAATGGAAACAAGACATGGCCTCCAGAACCGTATAATTCACACTGTGTTGAATAACGCACTAATTAAAGATAAATACCATGCAACAAACGGGAAGGGAGAGGTCTTCCTTTTGAAAATTCGACACCGAATGATGGCATCTGAATCCTTTTAAGCATACGTAGCGTCTTTAGTGGATAATCGTAGAAATGAACATCTGCAGTAGATCTGCAGTAGAACTGAGGAGCGACGTTGTAGCCGAGCTATGCTTAGTTCATTACAATCAGCGAGGTGTTCCGGGGGAAATTTCCGACGCTTCATCAGAATAAAACGTATTGTTTCATCTGCTGTGCACACAGGGAGCTCTAACACCTAGCATTCGAGCTGCGCCTGCCGCGTAACTGTGGTACGGGGGCGTGAAAAGTGAACACGATCGAGCACCTTGTCGAATTGGACTGCCAGGCCACCTTGTGTTCAGTCAGCCAATCCAACCCCAAGACTAAATCACAGGGAACGAGAACAACTAAGAAACCACATTGTCAATCCCGTCACAACCCGATCAATGCGTAATTGTTCACCTGTAGCTACGGTGAACCTATGCTCTTTCGGAGGTCTCCACATCTTGAGCTGCAGTTGTTCGACTGTTTTAGGACTAATGAAGCTTGTTGAAGCCCCAGTGTTGTAGTGCACAGGCACTACAATGGGGCTTGCTCGTGACCTATGGAAGACAGCTAGCTGGCGACCTACAAGAGGTCATAACGCGGAACGAGGAAAAGACCCTCTTACTAGGATCGAAGTAAGGCAATTTGTCGGCGAATTACAACTACGCTGCTACCTGTCCCCTCGAGTACGGGCCCATGATAACCGTCTACCTTCGGCGCATTTCCTTGAAACAGTAGGCCAAATATCAAAAAATGCAGTTATTTGTAGTTTTCCAAAATCTGTTTTCTTAAAAATCACCCCCACTCGGGGTTCTCACCTCTTAGGCCCTGTGGGGAGGAGGCCTACACCGGTGCCGGCGCTATCGCCAGCCCCAACCTCCAGGTATTTACAGACACTTCTAGTGTATTCATGCTAATTTGCCGATGAATTGCCTTACTTCGATACTAGTAAGACGATCCTGTCCTCGTTCAGGCTTATGACGTCTTGTAGGTCGCTAGCTAGCTATCTTCTATAATTCACCAGCAAGTCCTATTGTAGTGCGTGTGCACTACAGGTACCCCTGATGGATTAGCCACGCCGAACTCCGTAAGCAGTCTTACATAGTAGATGTGTGTCAAGTTATCCCTTCCAGTGGATACAACTCGCTGTACGGCAGGTTTGAACTGTTAGATGTGCTCTTTTTGATCCATATTCGGCTCCGTTTTAGGCACCTCTTCTAAAATTGCCGCCTGGAGCAGAATATAGAATCTAATTGGGGACCCCATCTTGTCTATCCCTATAGCACAGCAGTTTTACTAGGTAGGGAAAGCAGGGTACCCAACAATCTCCCTGCTCCACTGTCTAGTACCTTTTCCCTGCATCAGCGAAAAAATCTCCGCAGTGTCTGCAGAGGTTTGCATGATACTTCCATCCTCATGCTTACGGGATTATTGGTATGCAGAAGTCGTCCTGTCCAAAATGTTTGGCCCAAGTACTCCCCGCATGAGCTACAAATCGGCGGGCAGGGAGCGGCCGACACGTGTGTGGCGTATATGGTCAACAATCTTGCTACTCTCCGTTGGAGACAGATGATGTATTCGTCAGATTACGTTCCCTGTGCATCCTCAGCAGTTTCTTTGATTTTAATTCCGCCTGTTCCGATCTGCGCTTTTATTATTTGAACGGGAAGGTCTATTTTCTTGGACTCTCTTGGGGAGAAACGTCCGTTTCTGTCTTTCCTTTCCGAGGTGGAGGCGCCAATCTCATTCCATTTGCTCCGTCGAACCATCCTTCCCGCAGCCGTCATTGGCTCAACCGTTCTTTTGTGGCTTCATGATGTGTTGATGTGCTGAGGGTGTGCTGCTGTATATTGAAATATGTGAGAGGGCCCGCATATTTTGGAATAGTCCACGAGTTGCAGCCTCTGAAACCCTCGCTACACTTTAGAACGCCGCAAACTCAAGACGCATCTCCCGCCGCGGAATTGGCAGGGTCTAGCTGCTGTAGAGCTCTCTTTTCGAGTACACGCTTCACATCTTCCGTGTCCTGGGTGGGCCTTTTTCAAGGTACATCGTCGCCTAGAACCACGTTCTTGTTCCAGTTCATAACACAGCGTTAGTACTACTCAGCCCCACGGGCACCTTTGGTCGACATTGCTGCCTTCCCTGAGCTTCGCAGTCTCACATGCGCTACTCAGAACCGCAAGCAATTATTTGAACACCCACTGAACAGTTCATGACAGTAATACTCAACACTAGCACAGGTTAAAGCCACGTATTGGCACAAGCCAATTTAAAAGCAAAACTGCACATATGGTCCAGTCGGGAAGTGCACTGGAATTCTGGCGCCCTCACAAGCCCGCAGCAGTGCAGAGCGGTGCATTCTCCAGTAGCATCGAAGTGTCAAAATATGAGGGCTAATTTTACTTAAGGCTCGTGCTGTTTGGCTAAACACAGCAAGAACTGCAACCACTTTGACGTTGGCGTAAGCGCACTCTGAAGACGCTGTACATCCCAGAGAACACTACGGCCCAGCTAGAGACTGGGCCGTAGTGTTCTCTGGGATGTACAGCGCCTTTCTCTGGTTCTATATTTCAGTGTCTCATATCACCAAATTCAACTGTTTCACGAAGCAGAAGCACCACAATGCGTGGTTCTGTGAAGGCATATTTGACTTTGAAGAAACCCAAATGGCAGTACACTAGAGGAGTTCCCCAGGAAAAAGCGAAAGGGCGGCAGTACCTTCAGCAATTCATGTGATGTGAACGTCGAAAATCTTTGCCAAAGACAGGGCTATTCCGGTTTTCTTCGCGCAGCGCTCGTTAATTTCAAAGACAAGCGCCACGCCCACTGGTAAAAGCCACTGGAAAACTTTGC